GGGAAAAAATAGGAAGCAGCTACGATGGTGGAGCTGGCGGCACTGATTTGGGGCCCTCTCAAGGATTATCTTTCAGGCTGATTTTGTTTTCAAGGCAGGAAAAAATAGAAAGAAAGCGCGCTCAATGAACAGCTGGGAGGCAACATGAATAGACGCCTCTCAAGGATTATCTTTCAGGCTGATTTTTTTTTCAAGGCGGAAAAAAATAGAAAGAAAGCACGCTCAACGAACAGCTGGGGGGCAACATCAATAAATGAGGAAGGGGGAGACCTGGGCACAGGAGATCCTGAGGGCAGAAAGGAGGGAAAATTTAATAACGTGTGCTCTTAGCTCTGCAGAGGGAGAGATCGTACGTGGAAGTGCTGTTTCAGAAGAGAATCCTGCAATCGTGGAGATGTTCTGGTTGGAAAAGACCTTTAAGGTCATCAAGTCCAACCGTTCTCTAACTCTGCCAGGCCCACTTCTAAACCCTGTCCCTGAGCGCCACATCCAGACGGCTTTTAAACCCCTCCAGGGATGGGGACTCCAGCCCTGCGGTCACAGCATCTCACCACTCCTCAGTAAAGACATTTTTCCTAAAATCCAACCTGCCCTGGTGCAACTTGAGCCCATTTCTCCTCATCCTGTCACTTGTTACTTGGGAGCAGAGACCGACCCCCCGCTGGCTGCCCCGGCCCGTCGGGAGCGATGAGGTCTCCCCTCAGGCTCCTCCTCTCCAGGCTGAACAGCCCCAGGTCCCTCAGCCGCTCCCCATCAGACTTGTTCTCCAGACCCTGCCCCAGCTCCGCTGCCCTTCTCTGGACACGCTCCAGCCCCTCCGTGTCCGTCTCGTCGGGAGGGGCCCAAACCTGAGCCCAGGGATCGAGGTGCTGAGCCCGGGGAACAATGGTCCTTAGGGCCACGTCAGGGCTGACCCAGGCCAGGATGCCGTTGACCCTCTGGGCACGTGCTGGCTCAGCTGCCCACCAGCCGCCCGGGACCTTTTTGGCTGGGAAAAGTCTTGACCTCGAGTGCTTCGAGCAGCAGACACGGCACGAGCGTGCTGTTACCTTCAGAAAGTGCTCCCTCTTGGGAGAGACTGAGCTGGAAAATGAAGGACTGAACAGAACTAGTTCTGCTTAGTCCAGACCAGGACATCGGGCCCCAGGACATCGGGGGGTCTCTGTGTTTGTAACCACACGGGCAGGAGCTCCTCGAGGTCACTGTCAGTGCCGCAGGAATCCTCGGTCACTGAAAGCTGTGAGGGTGGGTGTGCTTCATGGCAGGAGTGACCTCCCTCGAGTTGGCAGCTTGCGGGGCAGGGGTCCCGTTTGGGCACAACGTCCTGACTCTCCTTCGCTTTCCGCACAGTCCGAAAACGCCAAGCCGGAGGGCTCCTTCCAGGTGACCATGGTGCCCGGGGACGGCGTGGGCCCCGAGCTCATGCACGCCGTCAAGGAGGTGTTCAAGGTAAGGGAGGGATGGGGCAGGTGGGGAAGGGATGAGCAGCAGCTCCAGAGACCCCCCAGGACCTCCCTGATTATCTCCTCTGGTCGTGAAAACCTCAGGGTCTCACCTTTCCCTAAATAGGCTCAGATTGAGCAGAGGTTTTGCAAACAGGTGACAGAAAACATCCTTGTTCTGTTGGGAATGAAGTGACCCAGAGGCTCAGGTTCACAGAATCCTTCAGGTTGGGAAAGCCCCCTGGGATCATCGAGCCCAACCCCTGACCCTGCTCTGCAAAGCTCA